TGAAACCCACGATGAAAGGGTAAGCGGATCCAGAGCCCAGTGCATTCGGCGAAGGCGTAATCCAGCGCTTTCTGGTGACTTACCATTCACTTTGAGTGTGATTAGTATTCGCACTTCACGAAACCTTTCTGATCGTGGTGTTTGCATTTTCCCTAGTCAGTTAACCATCCCCGGAAATACTCTGTTTGTCGACTGTTACAGCCATTATGAAAGTCAACACACGTTCAGTGTCTTTTTACTTCTTTTTTATTAATTCCATATACAAATGTCCAGCCAGGATAGGGGCCGCGGTCATACAAAGGGTGCCTGGGAAGTCGGGCAGCGGTAGAGCGGTTCGAACCCGGGACTCACAGGTCACAAGTGGTGACCCAACTACTTGGCCACCACAGCGTGTTCATAGGGAATATCCTGCTACAAATTGGGGTCCAATGATGACCATTTCCGAAAATGTAGGTAATAACGTCATCGTGGACCCAATTGTTGTATACGAGTGTGTGCGGTGAATGACAAGTAGGCTATCATGACAAAGAAGTTTTTGTTATTATCCGTAGATAAGTGCTGAGAATATTGCCACCGTTTTTCGTTTCAAGGATTTCATTTATCTTATCATACGTGATTTGTACTATATTCTGAATGGTGCTAAAATGAAGGGAAGATAAATTCTGCGAGATGTTAACATTTTTTCAATCTTCTCAGTGGCCATAACGTAAAACAATCTGGTATTTATATAAGTAAGTTTTGATAACTATACAATGGTTCAACGGACAACGGACAGCGTCGCTTGGGGGAGATCAGTTCCAAGGCAGTCTGACTGATTTTTGAGAAACTTTTGTGCACACAAGATGGAGTTATGTAACTTGATTAATAGCGCCTCGCTAAATGGCAAGATCCTGTGATTCGTTTTAAGTAATAATGGCTTGAACGAAAAATGTGGGTCAATGATTTGTCCAATTATCATGAGATGATTTGTGATTGATGACCTTGGATTTCTCTTATCAGATTAACCTCTAAGATTGTCTTGCTTTATTGCTTGTACCAGTCACTTGGGCATATGTTCACACATCCGTTGTGACAGGAGCCGATTCGTTCTGCTGATATAATTGTCAGCGCAACTGCAGATGAACTGGTAGACGATAGGGGAAGCAGAATTGTGCGGCTGGTTCTGTTCTCACTTTTCCAGACGAATACCTTGATTGGTTATGTGGTATCAATTGAAGCTGTGCTGCAAAATCAGTCAGACTACCGTGAAGCAGATCCCCCACACCCAAACTACTCCGATCAGTGTTCGTTGAACTATCGTTTAGTTATCAAAACTTGCTTGTATAAATACCAGATTGTTTTATCTTTTAGCAGCTGAGGAGATTGAAAGAAACGCTAACATCTCGCAGTATTTGTCTTCCTTCTGTTCTAACGAAATGGATAGAGGGCACCCAATGTTTCCTGTTTTTAGAAAGGTGTTAATTATAGTTGCAATTAAATAAAATGACATCGATATTCGCTGTGGATTTTCCCCGTGTTAAAATTGGCTGTTACAAACGGGACTGAGTTTTGTTTGATCAGTTTCAAATTGTACCGAAATTCGGGGGGATAACTTGTTTTAATGTTTGTAGCTTTTAATCATCACGATCATATTTAAACCAATGTGATGGTAATTTCTTCGGGGTTTGGCAGAGCTGAATGCTATCAGGCTCGGCCCCGGGTTGTGGATAGGGAGATACGTTAACCACAGTAGGTTAATTGTGAATACGTAATGGCATACCGCAACAAATAAGCAGTCGCCAACAAACAGTGGCGGCACTGCCAGGGTGTGGTAGGTTTCAGTCTGGTCACCTGGCTCCTGTTTAAAAGCCACATAAGCCCAATGACGTTGTCATGACAGAGGTCAATGTGACTGGTCTTTTAAAAGTAAAGCCATTGATCCCCTCACCTCCGAGGCGAGGGATTACTTCCTTCTGCCTTGCAGTTTGCACTTGGTTGTGCAATGGCTACAAGCACACCCTTTAAATGAAAAAAGCGGAGTGACGTTGGGGACGTTTCTCGTAACAAACTCCCAAGGAACTTCATGATAAAAATCATGATCATGTCTGGAGCCAGCTTATCCTTTCCAAGGAGCCAGCCGCTGTAAATTAAGTACTTGCTTCCGTGCTTTTTTAAACCACAGATTCAGCTGTGGTTGAAACGTGGGGTGGGGTTAGACGATACTCAAATCAAGCACAATGTTTTATTCTCTTCTTTGGGCTAACTGTGATGATAGCATATCAAGGGGAAGTAATGCCAAGTAAGGGGCAATCAAATAACGCGTTGGACACTGTTGGCTGCGAGAATCGAAACAGTATTTTCCCCTATTGAGGACCTCCAAAAACCGCGAACCGAATCAGATTAAGCATCACTTTTCAAAGTTTATTTGACTGCAGTAAGGTCTCGTGTAAAGAAATATATTACACTTCATATTTTACAAATTGCAGTTTGTATTATTGATGTATTGATCGTACGCGTGAACGGTGAACAAAAGAAACCGAACAAACCACTAGCTCAAAGTTCAGACCAGTTGTTTCGGCAGCTTGCTCGCCACAGTATAGATGTATCTTGAGCAACAGCGTGATACATATTTGAACCATTTTCTTTGACTGATCTATTTTACGTGGCGATTGTGAAAAGTTGATGAGCAGCCTATATGGTATTCGAGCCCACGTATGGACTCCGCTTAAGCTTTCTGCACGCACGTTCAGCTGGTAGAGCGTTCGCAAAGAAAGCTTCGGCGGCGTCCATGCGTGGGGTCGAATCCGACCGAGGCTGCTCTAGCAACGTTTCACAATCGCTGTGCAAACTACAAACATGCCAAACAGCAAGTTGATCTATTATGGTCAACCTATTGCTATTCTCACCGTAAATCACACACAGAAGTGCCTTCCCCGATCCAGTGAATCCCCAACCTTGTAAAAAGCCTGGAGTGGAATCGAGAACGGGCTCGGGAGAATAGGCATTCCTACGTTCTTTGCTTTTCCACAGGTTTCTAAATATGAACTTGGCATGAAAAAGTGGAAAAATATATCGGGAGAACTTTATGCTCACACATTCCTTTAGCATAAACACTGCGCAAAAATAAAATTCTGACGCCTTGGATTGTTCTTATGCAGATTCTATGTGTGGAAAAGGTGTTCTGCGACACAGTTATCCACTATGACCTCAATCTACGTCATCATGCATTACTCCGCTTTGGACTTGAAAAAAGGACATATATATGTGTGTGAAGAGTATACTTCGCGTCTGTCGACATTCAGCACTGTGACATTTTGTTCTACTATGCACGCGTTTTGTTTCTTTCTAGTTGCACTATCCCCTTACGCCCTAATCGAGGCTATTGGTAAGCAACAATAGAGTAATCCGGTATACAAGCACTTCTCTATGTTATGTTGAAATCCATTTAATCGTATTCCCTTACTTTGTGCTCCCCCGTCGTCGTTGGCGGTTTTTTATATGTGCAATATTTCAGCAGTAATGTTCAATACAGTTAGTATACCGAATCATGTCTTTCATTCCTGATTCGCCAATCTGCTGATAACAAATATGTCGTTGTTTTGGTTTTTATTAAATCGAATTTGTTTTCAACTTTAGGTGCGGGTCAACTGGATGCGTTCGAACCAAAAATTATTGAGGCCACCATGAGCCAAAAAAATCAACTTTATGTAGAGATATCCGCGGAAACGACACAATGGAATCCGTCTATTGAAATTCTATGGAATCGGAAGGGCAAAATTTTACAACGCTTCTCAGTCAGTCCGGGTAAATCGCTGTTTGCGATCACATCACCATGCCCCGGATGTCGTCTGTTGATACGCTACCATAACGAAATTATTGCAGTCTTATCGCCAATGATCGAACCCAACAGAACGTTGTCAGGTCAGTTTTCATTGTTAAAAATTGGGATAGTTGTTTCCCCCACAGGGGCCGATATATGTTTTCAGTACTTACCCACTGTAACTCCCTGAGATCTGTCCGTGCTGGTTTGGAGATCGCTAAGCTCCAACGACACGGTCGAAACTCATTCGCCTGAGTACATGTCCGACCGAATCAATTTGTTTCTACTTGAACTCACAAACAGTCGTATCATCGACTGCTGTTGTTGTTGTGCAGAGAGTTATATCACTTAGCAAGTGAGACCCACACAAGTACTAAAAAACATGCTACGCCCTGTGAATTCTCGTTGAACGACTAAAAAGTGCATTCTAAGTAGGCTGTTGAGGGCCAATTCACGCTTCGAAGGAGAACGAGTCAGTCTGTTTATTCGTCAGCCATCTAAACTACTCGATCTTGGATCGGCTAAGCTGTACTGAAGAATAAATAAACCCAACAGTTTATAATCTCAGTTGATCGGGTAAAACAGCGAAACGTAATAAAATGGGTGTAGGAACCGAGTATCTTGACTAAACAGAAACTTTCGCACAACCCGTGACCTTGACATATTCAGCCCAAATCCGTAATATACCCTGGATGTAAACAATTTCTCACTCACTTAATGTACTTTTGAATTGAACGTGACAATCACTACCAATATACAAAGAAAGAAAATCTGACAAAGGCTCGAGGGTGAAAGTCAAAAGTCCAGAAATTGGCAGTGATGGCTGCTGTTTCCAAGAGAAACGGTGTCTACTAGAAATCTTTTTTCCATGGCATCTTTTGACCAGTTTTGCTTTGGTGTTTTCCTGTCACATCCTGGGATCATTCTGTGGTTATACACCTGTTGTAATTTACTTCTTCCGAAATCGCATTGCAGTAATTCAACAGGATTGAATGATGCCGACAGTTGACTTGAATGTAAACGATGTGAAAATTGGCTCTTATATATGAAAAAAAGATTGGTCATTGGCAACAAATCAGGATCAACAAGCGCGATCCCAGTTGCGTTCTTGAACTCAAATTGATATCTCAGACTCATTTACTTCATTGTTGCTCATCCAGTGGAATATTCAGTGATGTGTGACAACACATTTTCAAGCAATATAGCTGTTGTCACATTTAGGCTATCCTGATTTCGACTGAAATGGTTTAAAGGCCTTTAAATGCCCCCGCCCCACGCACCAAGAAAGCCACAGCAAGTTCACTGAGCGTCACAATATACCTACTGCAGAAGCTCTATAATTATGGCGTTCGAGATTTCGCATATGAGTGGATCAAAGCATTCCTCGATCAACGAACCATATCTGTTCGTTTTTATGATTCTGTATCCGGACCCATCAAAGCCACCCGCGGCGTTCCACAAGGGTTCGTACTCGGTCCCCGTCTGTTCCTCGCCTTCGTAAATGATCTACCGAAAGTGTTGGGCTCAAAAACAATACTGTTTGC